CGGGGGAACAGCTAGTGTCTGCCCCGCCCTGCCCTGTGTGCGGGCACCGTGCTGCGGGCTGGACTGCCCCGCGTGTGGAGCGCGGCCCCTCCGGGCACAGACTCAGCTTGTCTCGGGTGGGGCGCTGACAACCTGAGTGGAGCTGGGCAGATAACAGCCTCGTTCTTCACTGTGTCTCCACTTCCTGTCTGGCCTGCTTCTTCTTAACATCCCCATCTTTTTCTCTCTTTCTCCCTCCTGCTTTCTCCCTCCCTCCCTCTCTCTCTCCCTTTCTCCCTCCCTTCTTTTTTTAAGGCATCATTTATAAAATTAGGGCACAACAGAGTGGGAACCCTTTCCAGGCCGCACCCTTGTCTTCACACTGGCTGAAACGCTCATGCTGTGAGCCAATGGAGGGAGCCGCCTCTCTCAGAGCCAGCTGCTGTGTCAAATCTGTCTGACCCTGTGGAAGGGAGGGTGGGTTGGTATTAACTAGTGTTAATACAAATAAAGCATTTTTTAAAAACGAGGTGCCTTCTGCTTTAAAGCGCTTACCTGAACTATTTGTGAAGTACAGTTTGTTTCCTTGCCTGGGGCACGACTGCTGGATTGGGCCAAAGGTGCTGCTTCCAGGGATGAGGTTGGGAATTTGTAATTTACACCTATACACAAGCCTACACACTTAAGCTAGTGGTGGGGAAGGCATGTAAACGTTTCTGCCACAGGAGCCATTGCACAGGCAGGTGCAGATTGAAATAGAAACGTATGTTTTTTGGAGAAGAGTAGTTTATTAAAGTTGATTTAATAATGAACAGCACTGGAAAGAGGGGGATTTGGGTCACTGATTTATTGTAAAACAGGATTTAGCAGGCCACTAATTGCTTTGCAGTCGCTCTGTGCCAAATGGGATGTCTGTTCTCCTCTCCCTTTCCCTCTGTGCACTGGGTTCTTTTCTTTTCAAAGCTAAAATGTCTCATATTTATTTATTTCTTGATCTAGAAACCTGCCTTTCCCTGTGGGTAGTGAGAAAGTCTGGTTAGTTTGCTCCAATTCCTCTTTCCAGTCCTTTTTGCATCTGGGGCAGAGGGAGAAGCCAAACACCATTTTCTGTTAATTTCACACAAGGAGTTTGTAAAGAAACAATGGCAATGTTTGATTTACTGTAATAATATAATTATAGCTCTTGTATATCTGAATTAAGGATGCTGCCAGTCACGGCCATAAGCAATTCTTTTGATGAATTCTCCCTTTCCATTGTTGAAGATGAACTAGAGGGTTGGAACTGACATGCCTTTGTGAAATTACATGGTTATTTCTCTGGTAGGTTTTATAGTTCATCTTCTTTTTATTCCTACCCACAGTGCAGTGCTCCTTACTTAACACAAATAGTCTTCACTTTCCCCAAAATAAATAAAAATAAATGATGAGTTTATCTTGAAATAATTGGATATGGGAGTAGAGGACAGCTGTGAACAGCAGCTGGTATCTGACCAGAGGCTTGCTGATTGTATAAAGAAGGCCATTTCATTTAGGTTTTTAATGGTTCGGCTAGATTAGTGTTAAAACAAACGGATGAAATAATGGAATAACAAATACATTTGAACAAACAAACAAAAATCATGGTCCAGATTATGATTTCTTACTAGTTTAAATCTGGAGTAATTCAGTGGATTTTACTGGAATTATTCTGGATTTATGTAAATGCACATGGTCTTGATTACACTGGGATTATGTATTGGGCTAGAAAAGGTATTAGCTGAACCAGTGTTAAACATGATTGCTTTTGTTATGGGCATGTGCAAGGGTGTTAAAATATGTTAGCAAGTTATGGTCTGGGTTACAGCAACCAGCTGACACATTTTAAACATGACTTGTCTCTCTTTACGTGTCTCGCCTTCCTACATCATGTTAATTAACATATTAAATAGGTCATCAGCTGGTCCCTTGTTTTTAGTTTGAGTTTTAAAATGTTGGGACTTTAACTAAAGTATGGTAATGTTATATGGATGTAGGGGATTTCTCTAAATATTCATTTTAGTAACTGGAGAATCTTGAAGTCATGACCCATCAGGTTCTTCACTCAAAGTCCACCCTGATTTTTTTTTTTTAATCAATGCCATTTGCATGCAGCAGGGGTTGGGATGACCTCTCCTGGTGAAGGCAGACACTCAAGAATCTTTCTGTTGCAAGACTGTAAGGATCAGTGGTGATGGGAGCTCAAAAGGCTTCTTTGTGCTGGCAGTGGTGGAGACTGCTCAGTGGTTGCATCCAGCATAAAAATTTGAGTCACTGTTGGTGTTCTGAGTAGCCTGTGATATAATATCTTCAACAAAGAATCCAAGCAAAATGGTAGCTGATCACTTGAGAAAACTGTAAATATGAACTTTGGGTGGGGTCAGGAGTAGACATTACATTCTGGAGTTTAACTTCCAAAACAGAGCCTTTAATTGGACAGCATGGATTTACTGGAGTGAGGGCTTGGATTACTATTATGCGCCTGTTCTGTAACCACTGATGGAGGACACCTTGTAACTCCAGATGTCTGTATGAAACAGATCAGAAAATTTCCTCCAAAACTAGCTTATTCCAAGCTGTTTTTGAAACTGGTCAGGCCAACTTACATGGGGCTCTTTAGCCTGGAAAAGTGCAGGCTCAGGGGCGATCTGATGGCCTCCTGTAAGTTTATCAGGGGTGTTCACCAGTATCTGGGGGAATGTTTGTTCACCAGAGTGCCCCAAGGGATGACGAGGTTGAACGGTTATAAACTCCAGCAAGACCGTTTCAGGCTGGACATAAGGAAGAATTTCTTTACTGTCTGAGCCCCCAAGGTCTGGAATAGCCTGCCATCGGAGGTGGTTCAAGCACCTACACTGAATGCCTTCAAGAGAAATTTGGATGCTTGCTTGTTTCCTATGACCCCAGCTGACTTCCTGCCCCTTGGGCAGGGGGATGGACTCGATGATCTTCTGAGGTCCCTTCCAGCCCTAATGTCTGTGAAATCTACGAAACTTAAACTCCTTTATAATCAGGTTTCCACCCAAACTTTACAAGGTTTTAAAAAATAGTTTAAACAGAACTGTTCAGAAAGGTAGGGAGGCACGTGGGCTAAAAATACTTCAGTCTCTTGGAAACCTACGTGTCAGAGTGACTTTCCATAAGACTAGTTCCTAAGTGCCTATATCACTTGTGCAAATGGGCTGGAGGCTCCTAAATCAATTGGATGCTTACATTCAGTAGGATAGGAGCACTGGACATTAATATGGGTCAAAGAGAAAAAAGTAAGCGCTGCCACCTGCTGATGACTTAGTGGAGACAGTTAGCTGCATCTAACATATGTCCCCGCAGCCCCAAGGAGCTGGGGTTGGAATGGAGAAGGGCAGAGAGAGCAGACAGATGCGGTTTGGCGAGGAAAGAAGAATTACACAAAGTGCTTCTTTATTGCAAGAGTGCTTCCCATAAGGCCCAGATGTTATCCTGAACTTTTAAGAGTGAAGAAAGGATCTGTTAACAAGAACTCCAGAGCTGTTGGAAGCACAGGGCTGATACAATTGCAAACCTACTATAACTATTCATGTCATTATTAGACAAGCCGAATGCCTCAGTGCTAAAGAGGCCAATAATATTTCTCCCATTGAACTGCATGGGACTGCAGAGAGGATTCAATTTACATAGCTGTTGGCAGGAAGGGATTTCCAGGAGGCAAAAACACACATAGCAGAATTAGTTAAAGAGCTACACCCTCAGTTATTTGCTTTCATAACTATCATTCATAAAGCTAATCCCATTTATTTGTCGAATTATATCTGTGATGGCTCCACAGTTGTAAATCACTCCCAAAGCCTCCCCTTTGAATTACTGCCTCTCTTATTGGAGCTGATGACTTGCAACTTCATCAGCCTCTTAGAACAGGAACATGTCATTCCCCTCTCTCCATAGCAGTTCAGTAATACCGGTGGTCACCCCATCCAAACATTTCTAGGTGCAAATGTGTATCTAGAAATCTCCTTTACTTGTTGGATTTTTCAAAGGAAAGAGAAAAGGAGTATAAAGCCATTCAGCTTTGTGAGTTCTGTGCCCAGGACATTATTTTTTTGATCCACGTGACATTTTTATAGAAACTTGTGAATTCCAAGAGCATGTAGCTATTTTTCAGTATTATTTTTGTTACCTACCAAGCAGGCTAATTTATAAAGCGGGTAAGTGTTCTTGTCCTAGCCCATCTTTTGTTCTGTAGCTGGCAAGGCAAGACAGAGAGAGGCTAGATGCCTTGTCAAAAGCCACAGAAGCTGAATCTGTCAGAGCTGGGCTTAGGCTCAGGATTTCAGGGTCTCAAGCTAAACCATGCTGGCTATGTAGACCCCACCATGCCCTGAATCATAGGTTGTATCTACATTAAGCTGAGATAAACTTGCTTCATTTGTGCTTTTTGAAATGGTTTAGAATAAAGGTCTTGTTCCAACCTATGCTAGTAATTGTTGTCTTCCTTTGCCAGCTCAGAAGGAATGCTTCATGACAAATGGCAAACAATTCAGTTCCTTCATAAATTATTTGGTGCCCTTGTAGAGACATAAGCACATGTATGGAGGATTGGCTGATCCACAGATTTCCTTCCATGCAGGGGACACTGATTCACTTGGAGCCAGAGACCATATTGTCAGGTGTTGTGAACCACTTGTGAGAGTGTTGGGAACAGCTGTTGTATGAGGGCAAGGTATAAGGTGCAGCTAGGCATCCAGCCCAATTTTCCAAAGCATCTAGGAGTTGAATTTGTATTAAAACATTCCTTTTCTGGGCTGACTGCAAAGATTTTGGCAATAGCTTTGCTACTAGTTTTCTGAGACCACTGCCCATCAAGTATTGTCTCATTCCCATCTTGTACAACATCCACAGCTGCATCTGTAGCCTTCTGTTATCTCATGCCTTATACCAGGGGTGGGCAAAATGCAGCCTGTGGGCCAGATGTGGCCTTCCAGGCCATTTCATCTGGCCCGCGGGACCCCTAAGAAATTTAGAAAATAAATTTTAATCTGTCCCTGGCTACCTGTCATGCGGCCCTCAATGGCTTGTCAAAACTCAGTAAGCCACCCTCCGCCCAAAATAATTGCCCACCCCTGCCTTATGCCAAGTTTAATGTGCTTTGGAAAAGGGACCATAATTTTGTTCTGTGCATTTATAAAATGGATTTCTAGTCTATAACTGGAGCTTGTAAGCAGTGCAGTAATACCAATGCTTATTCTAAAGGAGTAAACTGTTATTTTTCCTTGATCTCAGCTTAGCCATGCAAGCTAGGCAAGGGCAAGCCGTAAAGTATTTATAGGTTTGGAGCTTGAAAGGCTCTGTATAGTGCTTAATCAAGTTCAGAATGATATCTTCAAGGGAAAACCTACTTATTTTAGGGCTGTGCTGCTGTAGACTGACTCTGAATTAAAATTAAACCTTATCTTGGCAAAGTGTGCCTAGAGGTGAAGTAGATATCTGTAACATTCTATTGACAGGATCTGTTTTGGTATGGACATGTCTCCTGAATGTTCAGACAGAATTGCCTTGCCAACCCCTTCAAAACAGAGAAATTTCAGAGATTATTAATTTGAATAGTTTCAAAATGAAGGGTCAGACTTCTGTACAATTCCAGTAATGGATGTGCCACTCACCCCAGGTGGAAAAGTCACAGTAAATTTTAATTGCTATCATTTCAGCTCTGACTTCTGGTACGTGTACAATCCCACTGAAATTGTGGTTCCTTGGGTGTTCCTATTTACTTCAGTGGAGCTACTTTGAGGAATAAATATTTGTAGGGCTAGATCTTGGGTTTATGCAGTGCAGTATGTATACATTTTACACTGTTGTCATTTTACAAGAGAACTGTCTCATTCTGGAAATGGGGAGAGTGGAAGGGAGAGAACCTTTGTAAACCACAAGTTTCTGGCCAAAATACAGTGTACTCTGTAGAGTGTGCATATATATACATACATTTCTATATATATGCACGTGTGCGCGCGCGCGCACACACACACACACTCGAATTTCAACTTTTGTTCTCTTTTTTGGAAGCTAAAGATATGGATCACAGCTGACATGACAGTTGTGTTACACCTAATACTTGTAGCGTGCAACACTTAGTAACAATAACTATCGATTCCCAATACATTTCTCAATACAAATTAAAGGGAAATATGAATTGTTACAGTTTAAATTAAAATTACCCACTTATTCCTAACAATTTCCATATCTGGCCTGAGGTGGCAAGAAGAAATTTTGCTTCTTGGCTTTCCTGGCCAACTTTGGTCCCAATCTTACAAGGTGTTGAATGCATTCTGAATAGAGCTGTATCCTTTGTACCCTGGTCTAGATAAGAGCTAGCTTTGTTGTTAAATAGGATGGATTCATTTTATATGCAACGTACCAGCATATTACATTTCTATAGGAGGAGATTAGTTACTTAAATAATCTTTTTTGTCTTCTATGCAAAGGTACCCAACAGTTTAAACATGCTTTTGGATTTAGGAGAAGCAGTAAAAATATCTACAATATACTTGTTAAGAAATTATGAAAAAAGCAAACTGTAAACAGATGTGAGGCTAGGATTATTTATTGTTAAATCATAGCTAAATATTAGGCACCATGCTCATTGTGGCTGTTCACATATATTGCTCCTTGAAGTGACTAGTATGTTGGGATGACAAAGAAAGGCATAGCCAAAGCATTGGGCAAAAGTTTACCGTTTGATTTTGTCATTCCATATGACTTCATTAACATGGCAAAACACTTCACAGTCCTTTTTTTTAGCTTAGCTATTTAGTGCTATGTCCAATTTTTGCTTTGATCAGTGGGAGTCTTTCTATTGAGTTCAATGGAAATTAGTTCAGTGGCAATCTAACTTTGCCAAGACCAATCCTGGCCTAAGTTTTAGTTTGGCAAGGCATACATATGTATCTTTGAAAATAAATACCCTTCTGAGGGCAGTGTACTTACCAGTTCCATGTACACATGAGCAAGAATTTTTATTTTTAATATGGTCTATTTTGGGCCAAAGTAGTCTCTTTTACTGCAGATGGATCTGGAGTAACTTGGTAAATCACCAAGAGGAGAATCAGGTCCAATGCCAATGTTGCCAACTCTCATAATTTTATCACAGGTCTCATGATAATTGCTGCTCCTAAGTGAGAGGTAAGTGAGTATGTGAAGATTTCAGTTTTCATTTAAAAAAAAAGGTAGATTTCTAGCCTTCACGGGCACGAAGAAAAACTAACTATGGAATATTAATGGCACAAACTAAAAAGCAAACTGAAGGACTCTTAATATGTAATAGAAAAATTGTGATTTTTTTTTTTTTTTTTTTTAGGCCAGTATAATTAATTTTGCAGGTCTGTCTTTTGATCTTTTAAAAATTTAGTGTTGGTGATACTGCATCAGGCTGCCACGAGCTGAGAGCAGAATCTGGCCAATTGATCTCATTTTGGAAGCTTTTCAATTTTGTACGGCTCCTGATTAAGCATGCTATAGAAATGAAACGTAACAATTTGCTAAGCCTTTTCTTGACATTTGGTTTTTGAAAATACAGATATGGTGCCTACACTAATGCAGGATGGTCTGTTGTTTGCATATATTTGCTCGCTGATGACAGCTTAATAAGCTGCTTTATTTTGTGTTTTTATTCAATAAGCTTGTCAGCTTTTGTATGTCGTCTGACCTCTGCTTCCCCCCTCCTTCCCCACCTTGTCTGAAGAGGGCAACCCTGTCACTATAATTTGTAGCAAAAATGAATTCTACAGGGACACAAACTGGCTGGTTATACAGACCTGAAATTTTACAAAAGAATATAATTTATGCAACAAAAATAATTGAAGTGGAAGCAGGAGTTTTGGTGCATAAAGAGTAGAGGACTAGGTTTATGAGTAAGACAAATTTAAAAAGCTAGTGAAGAATTCAGTGAACAGGGATGTTTTAAATTTGTGAACAGCTAATCTTTTCATATCTCACTGGAAATGCTTTTTCTGTTAAGAAAAATTTAAGTTAGCAACTGTTTGCTATTAGATTCTATGCAAAGATACATATTTGTACTATTTAAAAGTAATAGTTTGACATATCAAAAATATGTTCATTCAACTTTGTTTCTTTTCCATATACATAATTGGAACCATGTTGAATCGGGGGATGAAAAACAATGTTTCTAATTATGTCTAAAATGTAATTATGTGATAGAGCAAAACTACACCCTTACAAACAGCAGTTTAGATGCTGAAGTTAATGTGTGTTATTTTTTGATTGCACTTTTATTTAGTCTCTCTGTGTTGTTGTTTTTTGTATTATTGCCTTTGGTTGATCCAAATATGTACAGTATAAAATATTATTTACTTCATTACATGCAGATGCAAACCACACTGTTCCATTTAGGACTTTAAAAAATTGATTAGATAAAAACCAAGGAATTTGGGTAACAGCTCTGAAGTGGCAGATAGACAAACTAGATGATCTCATGAGGCACTTAAAAAAAAAAGAAAAGGCGTTGGAAATGTTGCTTAATAATGCATGTGCAGTTGCGAGTCAATATTTCATGTTGTTGTCCAGAAATACGGGATGGATGTGCAAACAAATGGCCATTTTAGCTTCCCATCTTAATTGGCCATTTTAGATTACTGTCTTTTTGCCTCAAAACATAGCCATTTTATATGTGAGGTCACCGTAATTGTACATACAAATATGTCCACATAGTTGCATATGTATTTTTGCTTTGGGCCTCTGGCTGCTATTTACAATAAATATAAATGTAGTCCCCAAACCCCTCCATATCCCAGTCTTTCTTGCTACTAAGAACTTATATTACCAAATAATAATGCCACAGCTAGAATTATTTTACATAAGTAAAAGTATTAAAGAAGGGCTTTAGCCAGATAGTATATTTCCTTGGTTAGAATTACTTTATATATTTCTGCAGTAGTCCTATTTAAAAAAAAAATTAACATATGAACTTCATTAAATTCAGCACTCGTATAAGAACATTTATTCTCTGAGAGGGAAGAGAGATTTTCCTGTGGAAGGAAAACTGCATTGGGTCCTTCAAACCTCCACAGTGACCAAAGCAATTAACTTGGCTCCAGAGCAGTGAAGTGTGCACTAAGTACATAGAGGATCAGTCAGCAGGGCTTTTTGCAGTGGCGGAACTGGCTTCTAAAATGAGATAATAGAAAGCAACAGCACCCACCTTCCAAGACCAAATTTATCACATTATTAAGTCCCGAGGAATCCATACATTGAAGTTTAACTCATACAAGTGTATTCTGAATGTATTCTTGTTTGAATAATTTAAATAGTCATAACATTTTCATGCAATGATGAAAGTCATTGTTATGACTATCTAAAGATAATATGTATTATTAAATAATTCTTTCATTTTCTAGTCTTAAAGAGGGCTTGAAGGGCCAACAAAGAATTAAAACCTTTTCATATTCATTATTGCTGTGAAATGAAATTGATTATGAAATTGATATTTGGAATTAAATTTGTCTTCTTAATATCACACCTATTTAATGCAGATTTTTTTCAACAGATAATTTTATACTATTATTTGAAAAACTTGACTGTTAGGATAATTTCGCTTCTCTTGCTAGGCTCTGCTTCACAAAATTTAAGATTATAAAAATACAGGGCCCAATCCCTGCTCTTAGTCTAAATCCATGAGAAAGTTAAATTCTGACTGGTAAGGGCTGCTGGATCAGGCCTGTTGTATATTCTTCTTAGCAAAACAACTATGCTATAAAATATTTTATTTATCTTTTGAATTATATTTTTCCTAATGTGTAATGATTTTGTAGTAACAGTTGGTCTGATGTGTTCTAAGATAGCTTGAGTCCTGCTAAGTTTTTACTTTTGTGCCAGTATCAGAAACGAGTGCATATACATTGTCACAGACATTAACAGACTGAGTAATTCTAGGTTGATGTGATATTATCATTGTAATAAATAAAGCAGCCCTATTTCCTTAGTTCAGCCCTACACATCTCGAGTGCAGCAGTACCTAACACAAGTACGTGTGTGATGCCAAAACCTCTACTGTATGTTTTAAAATAAACTCTGCTAGCTTCTGTGTGTTTTGTTTAATGTGCATGTTTTACCAGTTGTTTTGAAATACTATGCCACTGCACCACGTAAAAAAAATGGCTTACTTCACTTACATTTTTGTAATGCTTTCTGTCTTTGAAAATAAATGATGACAGAGCTAAGGAAATGATTGGTAACAATAATATACAATATTTACTGAATTTGCCTCCTTTTTCTGTTTATCAGTGAACAGACACAATAAACACATCAGTGACCAGATCACAATACACAAATTCTCTTCCTATTTAAACGTATTCAGTAAATTTGTTGCAATGCCCTCCCTCATTCTGGATCATCAGTTGATTGAGTTACTTGTGCTGGAGTTTGGGTGGTGTTGTTTTTGACTCCGTGCTGAATGAGCCTAACTATTATAGGACACAATCCAAATCATGTGAAGTCTACATGAACGTTCTAATTGACTTTCCTGATTTTTGGATCCAGTCTGTGATCAGAAGGTGGGCTTGAAGAAGCCTGAGACTTGTTCTCTCTTAGGGTAGGAGAGCTGATAAGTCAGATAAGGTGTTTTTTTTGAAGATGTCTAAGCTTTTGTATCATGCAGGTCCTTTTACTACAGGGCTTATTTGGCTGGGTGCAGAGTTAAATTTTATTTAATGAACATGTTGCCCCAACTACGGTATTTAGAATCAGATCCTTATCAGGCTCACTTAACTTCTGTTGTGTCAGGACTTTGCAAGGAATTTCTAAGAGCCTATCCCTCCATTGCCAAGTTATGCCCTATTTCATATAAAATAATTCACTTCAAGCACAGGGGCAACATGTTCTTGCTGTGTAAATACAACTCGATAACACAAATGTTCTTGGAAAACAAACACAAAAGAGACTGGAGCAAGGCTGTAATGCCTTCATTTTTAAATTCAAGAAATGCCTTACAAAATATTTTTGCAGCATTCTCTCCTCTCTGTCAGTATCGTGCCATTAAGTACAGCAAGTGCAATTAGAAATGATCTTTGCTTTAAAAAAGATATATCTTGACAGTTGCAACTTCTTTTTAAAGTTTATTAATAAGATACAGGTCAGCTTGCTTTCTTGCTTAAACACTCAGTGCACCAGTGATAGTCCTGTAGAAAACACCATTTTAAGAGCAACTTTTTAAAACAGACAGTAATTATGATTCTGCTAGATAACATATGTGCTGTGTAGTGATTTCCTTCTGACAAAGTTCCATGTCTGGGCATATACATACTTTTAGATATACATTTCTGAACAAGACTTTTGATTATAAAAGCTTGCACAGAAAAATATGCAGATGTAACATAGTAGCTATGTACTTACCTATTGCCCGTAGACATTGTGCTAGGCAATTTGAGACTTTTGCTGATGGGCTTCAAGTGAGCTCAGCTCGAGTGAGAGGATACAAGGCTGCTACCCTGGGCTTTAAGGGCAAGTTGCAAAATATACAGGATGAAAGGGAGCAAGATGAATGCGGGAGACTGATGCTGTACTTTTCACACCTACTGAAAAAAGAAAACTAAAGCATCCCAAGGTGTGTTGTATTGATACCTTTTTCTTGTATGTATTTTTATTCCAGCTCTATGGTTATTGTTATCAGGACAGTAATGACATCCCAGATACCCTGACCACCATCACTGAACTTGGCTCCCCACTAGAGATGATTCAGCTTTTACAGACTTCTTGGGAGGACAGATTTCGAGTAAGTACAATAACCATGGTACTAAACAGCTTTTAAGAGGGATGTGAACACAAAACTACTCCAAGGATGAAACAAAGGTTACATAAGTTACAACTTAGTTCATCTATATTAAACATTTTCTCTACTGGGGACTGTTAAAATAAGACTCTTTATTCCCATTTTTGGTGCTGTACTGTTCTGCCGGTTGATGGTATCAGATTATAGTGTGTTTGTTCCATCATAACTTTAAAAGTTTCATACTTGTTAAAAATTCAGGATCTGAAACTTTTGGCTTGAACATTACGCTCTACCACTGGAGTTTAAACAATAGAAGGATGTGACATCTTTATCTTGATTGTTATCACAAGTTGATTTTATAATTGCCCCCTATTATGTCTGTCCTTTAGTGGAGGAGAGTAAAGAGTAAAGCAAATGTACCTAGGACTAAAATGGAGTTTAGCCAATGGAAAGTCACTCCGCTGGCAATTAACCAGGAGTATGAAAGTCAGGCTTAAGTTGCATCGAATGGAGTTAGATGGCAGCTGTGCTTTGATCCAGACAGGGCACTGCTTATCAGGGTCTGTGATTTCTTTGGATGTTTTTCTTTACTGAAGAAGAGATCAGTTACAGGTGTAATTTAGAACCCTGTGGACTATATTTGGTCCATGAACTTCAGTTACCTTGTTCTAAAAGAAGCAGGCCCTTAAGAAATGTTATCTCAAATCAGAGTTTAGCTTGTAATGGCCAACTAAATAAGCTGATCTCTCACACCCAATCCATAGAATTGGAATTTGTGGTACTGTGTGATATAATTTGCAAGAGGCACATGAGATTATTGCCTTGACTATAATTTATGGGCTATGTTTGGAAAGCTTCTCTTCAGGCTATGAATTTCTTAGAGGGTGATTCAAGATAAAGTTGAAAGAGCAATATCTTAGCAGTGCTGAGCTGATTTGCATAGATGAAATATTTCTGGCTTTGCTATACTGAGGTATTAATGTACTGTCATTTACTGTATCTTACTTCGTACACCTAAAGGACAATAAAACAGATATTAAAATATCATCTCAATGCATGAGAATTATTTATGCATCTGCAAACACCTAGGTGCGTGCTTAATTTTTTATGCACAAGCGGTCCCATTGTGTTTGAAGGCTTGGGCACTTAGCCCTGCCAAGCCTTAAATCATGTACTTCAGTCTTGTTTTATGGGAATATACCCACACAGGGCTCAGTGGGGGTCTATATAAGTGGAGTCATTTTCAGGATCATAGCTTTACTAGCATTTGAAAGAGGAATATTATTTCAGATTCTAAACAAAACCCCTTTTAGTTTTTGTAAAATGCATTTTATGCCAGCAGAATTCCAAGTTTTGCTTAGTAATTTATGAAATCTGTGACTTGAGTTATTTTGGTCTAATATTTTCCTTTGAGTAGGCAACAACTTTGAAAGTTCTCTAATTATTTTTTCAGTGTTCTTTCCCTCTAATGCTGTTCTGTGAAGTGTGCTCTTGACCCAATGAAAAATCACATTCATATTCTGACTTTCAAATGCTTCATTTTGGTCTACGTCCATTTCCTTAGCAACACAACATGCCTTTTTTGTATAATGTCCTCTGGGGCATTGCATAAAACAATATTATGAATTTCAAGAAGGACAAAAGAACAGTCAATCCAGACATCCCATAACCATGCTTGATTTCAGTTATACCTTCAAATATCTCTACATAAACTTTTGGTATCATTTCAGTGGGATAAAAATATTCTAACTTGGCAAGACAGGGAAATTATTATAGAAGTATCTGATAGACCTAATATTCTACAGAAGTCTCTGAGGTATAACATGAGACATGCCCAACCTCTGCTTTCTTCTGAAGTATGCATATAAGTACTCCCCTGTGTATATTATTTATGTCCCCAGACTGAATTTTGATTTGATTTCTTTAATACAAGAGGCTTCAACAGCCCTTTTATTAAACCCCGCCCCAAGCATATATGTAAACAAGAACAAGCTTCCTCGACTGTAATATACCTGCTGTTAATTTAATACATGGACCAAGCATGCAAATATTTCACTATGTACATATTAATATTTGTTTTGTGTTAATAAGATACACAATCATTTAAAGGCATATTGTCCAGGCGTTAGGTAAATGAACGGAAAGCTGTACCTCAGTAAGATCGAAAGGGCTGAGTCCAAGACCGGAAGGGCAAAGTCTGTATCATTTTGCATGCAGTGGTCTCAGTCTTGCAATCTGATCTGCCTAGGCAGGCTGCTTGCACCTGTGCGGAGCCTCACTTGCTTGAAAGGAATCCTGCGCAGACATAAGGGTTTATCTACATGGCTAGGCTCTGATCTTGCAAAGACTTATGTATTTGCTTAATCATATTCATTGTTAGTAGTTCAGTTAATGTTAATGGTACTACTTTAAGTACATGAATTTAAGCTTGTAACTCTTTTAGGGGATCAGTGTCTCTTGTCACATTTTGTTAAGAACAAATATTTTCATTTCCACTGAGACTTGAGAGACTGATGCTTTTTTTGGGTCTTATTAAAGTACAACCCTATAGTAATGATGTGAAAAAAATTGGTAAAGAAGCTTCTAAGATTGTTTTGATCAACTGTGTAAATACAAAGTAAATTTTAGGTAGTTGGTTTAATTTTGATGATAAATCAGCTGATACTTGGTCATTTATGCATGTTACTTAATTTCAGCAGCTGCATTTTTATGTTTTGTTCAAAGGAAAAAACCCTTAAAAGATGCCTATACTTTAAATTTCAGATATGTCTCAGCTTGGTTCGTCTTTTGCATTATTTGGCTCACTCGCCTCTTGGCTCTGTGACGTTGTTGGATTTTCGACCTCGACAGTTTGTGATTGTAGATGGAGAGCTTAAAGTGACAGATCTGGATGATGCTAGCATTGAAGAAAGCTCTTGTACCAGTAACAATGACTGTTTCATGGAGTTCCCAGCAAGAAATTTCACTCTTCCCTGTTCTGTTGAGGCCCGATGTCAAAATATGAATGAAAAGAGGAATCTTTACAATGCATACAGGTATACTGTTTGTTATCTTACAGAAGTAAATACAGTTTGACAAAACATGCTGTGTAATCATTTACAGCCACTGTAGACCATGGAAACATGTTGGATCAGGCTCTGTTAGACTAATTATAAACACATTTCATTTAATGAAAGCACTCACCATTAATATAGCATTTTTAATCTTTAATTTTTAATAGCATTAATCATTTTTAATGTTATAAAAATAATTCTCACAAGACTTTTGAGATGCAAGTCTTACCACTTTTGTACATGTGGCACAAATGAGGTAGAAGTTTGAGGTGACTTCAGGAATATTTTAAAACTAACTAGCTCTACCCTTCAGTTCTTTCCCTGCTGTTTTCTTCTTTGCATCCTCCTGGAACAACCTGACCTATTTTTGGGTAGCAAGGTTTGTCTTCCTTCATGTGTTAACCCCGTCCACCTCTAGGTGCCCCACACTGAGGTCTGCATCCATAGTTTATGCTCCATGGCATGCACATCATTTATGGGTAGGACAGTGGACTTATGAATGGTTAGTCAGAACTCTGAAGAAAGTGTCTAACTTAAATGTCCACCTTTAAAATTTTATTTCTTAAATTTTGTTCAGGCTTACAACTGAGTAGCTTTACATGCCTGATTTGCATCTATGGTCTTGGCTTATTCCTTACTTTAAGTGCTGTACTCATTCTGGGGACTACATTCTGGTTCCCCAGGATGTTTATAATTAGCTTTCAAGAGATTGGGAATTGAGTCTTACTGCACTGCTCCTGGTTGTGCCATGGCTTGATGTTGAAGGGCACTGGTGAGGCACGGGGCCCTGTTGCCTGCTTCAGATAGGAAGATAGAAGATCTCAAGGAGATGGTGTGATCATGTGCCCTTTTCTTAGTCTTTCCTTTCAAATATGCCATTCTCTGTCTGCCAGACCACAGCTAGAAGAGTCTTCTCCAGTGAGGTCTTCTGCTTTTCTCCTAATGTGCTTGCCAGCATATGTGTTACATTAGCTGACCACACTGAAATGGATTCTACCACATGACTGCCACGTGCTTTTGCGCAACACAGTTTTTAGCGTGTCCTGCAAAATTTTCCATTTCCATCTGCTTGGATTAAAGATACTGCTTAGCTAGCTGGTTTCTGGTTAGAACCATTTTGCTGGTCTGGTCAGAAAAAAACTAATGGGCAACTGTGCATCTTAGTTATAGATTTAAATGGGGATACACCCATGATTCAGTGGTCTTGCAGGGTGGTTACTGGTCTTATTAAAGAAGGCAGTCTTTTCCTATCACAGTTAACATTTGGGAGAGTGCTTCTGAACTATTTTGTGTGCTCATCAGTTTGTGTTTTTGGTCCCCATTCTTACTTATTATTAAGCCACAGGCTTTGGCTTGACAGCAGACTCACAACATACCAGGCTACAACTATCCTTTTATGAATCTCTGTGTCATCATTCGGCAAAGATAAAGTCTGAGTCCATTTGATGTGGACAGTTAGGTTTTCAAGTTTCCTTACTCCCTTGCCATTCAGTCATCGTGATGGCAGATGAATGGTTGTATTACTTTCTCAAAGCATGGGAAAAGGATCCTATGATCTATTACCTCGTGTTCTTAAGCAGTAGTACATCCATGAACTGCATGTATCTTCAGGAGTTTTGAAATTTACTAGGCAGTCATGGGAAATACCAGCTTTCTTCTCAAAATGAATGATTAGAACGGAGAAAATATTGCAAAAAAAAAAACCCTGGCAAGTTTTGGAGTGCCCTTTTTTTTAAGTTTTTAAAAATTATCTTTGCATCTCTCTCTTGTTTTTTCTTTTTCAAGGTGCAGACCTTTAACAGTGTTGGCAATTAAGCACTGGAACAATTTACCAAGACTTGCGATAGATTATCCATCACTGGCCATTCTTAAATCAAGGCTATTTTTCTACAAATGTGTTCTAATTCTAACAGGAATTGATCTAGGGAAGACCTGCTGTGTGTGTTATGCAGAGGGGCAGACTAGATGAAACCACTGATCCCTTTTAGCTTCATCACATATGTTTTACAAGCATTCTTTTGATCAGGTTTTACTGACACCAATGTATGTGAATATCAAAGTTGGACATGTGGGTGTTCATACCAGAGGTATTTGCTTAGTCACCCGACTGAGGAACAGAACCTATGCTAGGTGACTTTCTTGTCCAACTGCAGCTTCCTAATAGAAAAGAAGTAAGCAATGGCTATTGAATTCTTGCAGAACGCTGTTCAGGAGCAATCTCCATAGGCCAAAAGTGTTTCAGTTCAACAGAAAAATAATTAGTTTCAAGTGTTCATGCTCATTTTTACAATCTTATTTATATACATCCCTGAAAAAAATCTATATAATAATCCTAGATGGTGATGTAAATATTCATTTGGAAAGCAGAACTTAAAATCTTTGGGAAATGTATAAAGTGGAATATCTCAGTTGAGTTGGCTATAATACAGAATCCTGTGATTGACATTTTCCCATCAATAACCTAATTTTTTAAATTTTATGCTTATGTAAGACGTGCTTTATTCTCTCAAATGAGTATGATTCACTACAGTTTCTGTTTGACAATGTGGTCTCTGTATGTGAAAAAAGGTTTTACTTTACTTTACAGGTTAGATATAAAACAGAGCAACTCAAAGTCAAATTTCCTATTTGTGTTACCATTCTGCTCATAACCTAGTATTTATGTCTGATACTTTTGTTTAGAGTACCAAATTCTGAACTGTCCATCTTATCTAATCTTTCTAGTAAAACTAAGTTTGCAGAGGTTAGTAAGAGTCACTTTGTAGTAGGCATTTAAAGTGGCCTTGCAAAATTGTGTGTACCTTAAATGACAGATAAAAACAAGCTGATTTAACTTTCGTAATTCATTTTTTTTTCAACTGAGTCCAGGTTTCAAAATTATAGGAAATGCCACATTTTTGTAAGTACATCAACTTCTGTTTCTAGTTAGATTTTCCCATTGCACTTAGCATAGCTGATCTTCAGAACAATGACAATTAGGTAGTTATTTTAAGCTTGTGAGAAATTAAGAAACTGTAGAACCCACTTCATTTTTTGCTGCTTTAACTTCCATGCTCATGAAAAACAAAGGAACTACTTGAATGACTAACAGTTTTTCGTAGCAGGGAATGCATCAAGAACATTATGAATGCACATAAATTATATCTACACCAGGGAAATATTGAAGACATCCTGAATTATGATGGATTCACAACAATAGAATGAAGGATTTTTCTTGACCATTAATTTTAAGGCCCATGAAAACTGTAAAAATAAAAGTAAATAACTGATGAAATGAAAGGAGCCTAAATCAGACTTGTGCATTTTTTTACAGTTTGAAAAAAACAAGACTTCTGAGTTTCACAGTGTCCCTTTAATAAAGTTTGTCTAGGCACAGACAGCTTTGCAAATAGTCACAATCCATGGGGCTTCACAGCAAATTTCTGTGTTAATGGAACATTTACAGGTAGTTACAAGGCAGCCTTGTATATTGAAGTGTAGTATGTGTATGCCAGACAGCTGTGTGAACTGTGTGAATAGCTCCAGCTATATATTTATTTGATTAAGGAATATGATTATATTTCCTGAATGGGTTAGTGGCTTATATACTATTGGAATTTTATTCTTTATGTTGTTCAGTGGTTACTAGGCTCTTGCAAACTTTTATTTTTCAATCTGGGTTACTTTGTCACTGCAGGTTTTTTTTTACGTATCTTCTGCCGCACAGTGCTCCATCTTCATTGAGACCATTATTGGATGTGATAGTCAATGCTACAGGTAATCACACTGTAAATATACAATACTGCCACATTTCTCCCTCTCATATATTACTGTGATATTGAATACTTGTGTGTTAGGAGAGAGTTACATTTACTTTCATTGCTATACAGCCAGATCCTGCTCTCACTTAAAATGAAATTCATCCTTGTACAAAGGAGCAGAGAGAGGCTCCATACACCATATATATCCTTATTTTGAGGCCTTCAGTGGGACTTTAAGCGACACATACTTTGCCTTGACACCTCAGCACAGGGATGACTTTCACAATGGATGGGTGAAGTACCCATTGCAATTCAGCAGAAGTGGGATGAAAGTAGGATTTGAGATGAAGTTTAGGCCCCTCTATCAGAATATCAGGAGGAATGATCCAGGCCACAGGCTGAAATTCATCCCAGTCCAAAGAGACCCCACAAAGTCCCGTGCCAAAAGCTTAATTGATGGACCATCAGTTAGAGGAATTTGAGTCTTAGAGACCAATATTTTGCATGCGTTTGCCTATGATTTTGGAGATGCCTCTGTGCTTCATAATCAAGAGCAGACCTTAAAATTAGCTTAGAGATTAATCGTCGCATGACTTTGGGGGAACAGTATCTTAACTTTTCCTTACCTGTACTCTTGGACTCATGCCTGAAAGCATTTTTTCCTGCTTTCTATTACATACATGTTGTGGGAAGGCTAAGGATACCATACTATAAATGATTTCAAAGGAAATCACTGGAGAAGAATATTCCTTTCCTGTGTGTGCCCCATTCTATTGTATTCAGACAGTGTCTCAGTATACTAGTTGCTCAGTTTTTGACATGCAGGGTCATGACGTGGCTCTTCTTGCATGTGTAAATTCAATTTGGCAGGCACTTACAATGCCTAATGTGTCCACATCACAATACCATCATCATATGATATGGCATAACTAAATCCTAATGGCTTGTAACTTATTGTTGCCTAACTCCTATTTACTGTAAAGGAAGCTGTTTGTCTAAATCACTGCTTTCTGTACTTTTAAAGGAGAACTTCATTGGGGAATAGATGAAACACTTGCTCAGCTAGAAAGAGTTTTATATTTATACAAGAGCGGCAAGTATCTACAGAATGCTACACGGACACCGAAAGCTGGTAAGTTACTCTCTTTCAGAATGTACCATTACAGGTTCCCCTTTACTTTTGTTGCCAGTTGTGGAAGGGAGCAAAAACAAGCAAAAGAGGATCTAAGGGCCCTTGAAGTAATGCAGGTTTACACTTTCAACTTGCTGATTTCTAAACGCCTGGTTAGAGTTCTGCAGGTATGAAAGGGATGCTGCAAGGCAGGGAGGTGCTAAGATTGGTGAAAGACTGCTCCCACTGAGAACCTCAAACTTGTGGAAAATTTGAACTATGAACTTTTGCTAAAATGTGGATCCTGTCCAAATATTTGTCTACTCTCTGGATATTGAAACCTTCACGAGCTGGAGTTGTGGGGCAGGTTAGAACAGGGAGCCCAGGAAGAAGGAAACAGTTTATCGTAACAATAATACCCTTACCCTCCATGTGTCTCTTGAGACTCATGGAGCTTCCTTGCATACGCTGTAGCATTTGTAGTTTAGAAAGATTAAACCTCCTACCTGCTTCTCAGGGGGAAATCATTGCATCCACTGACCTTTGGCAGTGATAGGGCAAAAAAAATGTAGGAGTTAAGAGAAGGCTGCAGAAAGGCTTCTGTCTCCTCTTATCTGACAAAAATGGCTTCAACAATACCACAAATATGGACAGGACTTTTCAAACACATAGGGCATACAGGAATACATGTTCTGCCTCAAAGAACACTTCATAGAATATCACATTTTGAAAGGAAGTAATATATGTTCTTTTTATGTCAAACAACAAATAGGGGCACGAGTTTGTGTAGCTCTTTTTTTCTTAAGAGCAGGTCAAACAAACACTTGCCTGCAACAGTTTAAATGGGGATGATCCTGCCTTGAGCAGGGGTTGGACTAGAATACCTCTTGAGGTTCTTTCGAGCCCTATTTTTCTATGATTCTGTGCATGTGTACATGTGTGTATGCACACAACATGAGATTGTTGATATGAGCTGCTAGAGGTTGATAAAAAAAGATGGTTTTGCTGCTAATGCATGACAATGGGGGAGAGAGAGAGAGAGGTGACTAAAAGAATAAGAATATTAGAATAGAGCATTTGAAGATGTCAGTAATGCCTTCTTTTTTGTGACAGAGATTCGTGAGTCAAATTAATTTCTGGTGTAAATCTGTGAGCTGCAATGAGCTCTGAGGCCATGGGTGAAATTTGGCCCTCTGATCTCAAATAAGTCAATATTTAATTGGTTGTGAATTTGGCAGGAAAATTGTTGCAGGTGTTCGTTTAATGTTCTAATTTTCAGATTTTCATCATCACCTTTGTTGAGTGATGCCTGTCAACACAGTAAAATTATTTTCAGCAGCATAATCAATAGTACAAACATATCCTTTGTTGAGGAAGTGCCAGGAAGGCTGAAGTTTTCTGCGATGCTGTCTGATTCTAGATTTAACTGCTATGACAGGACAGTATGATGTCTTATTTGTCTTGTTTATAATGTATCACAGCGAGAAATAGCCAAACGACAATAGTAAATTGAACAATGTTCCACTGATGGGGAACAGAGCTTTATCCATTTCAGGCATCTAAGTTAAGTATATGTTATTCTGTTGGTTTAGTTCCATATGTTTCTGTATAATATAGCTGAGATTCTGCTGTCTTTACTTCAAGTCAGGCAATACCTTTCTTTGCAAGTAGCCCTATTAAATTTTATGAGACTGTTCGTGGAGCTAGATGCAATTCAGCAGAAGGAAGGGAGTAAAAAATGTCCTCTGTAGCTTCAACTAAGTAATGTGAATGTAATTTTATGCAACTAAATACTTATTTTAAGAGCCTGAATATTATACTTAATTATTTGACACAGGAGGGATTTTAGCCAGTGCTAGTCAAGAGAAATACAACATCCTCCCAGGAATTGCTTGTAAATGAAGGTTTGCCACAGTGGGCAAATTTTCAAATTTAGATGCCCTGACTTAAAAAGTATGGGCATGTTTGTCATTTGCACAGAGACCACTTTACACCTCTATAAAAGCAACTTTCCAGTGGGTGTAGATATAATTTATTCCTAATTCAAGTATCCTTTACCTTACTAGAGGAGTGTAAGGTGGTCTTAGGTGGAAAAGGCCTATACATTCACTCATATGATTTCTGTTCCACATGGATCCTCCCTTGAATTGATTTTAATGATTCTTTGAAGTAATTATTCACTTTTTAAACCTTCCATCTGATTTGTACTCACCAAAGGAGAAATCCCATTGGTAGAACTGAGCTGCAAAGAAAGGCAGTAGCAGTAGTGGAATGGGTCTGGAGGAGGTCCCCTCCTTTGGAGAAGCTCTTGATATTGGTTCAGCATGGGGTACCGTGAAACAAATAGTTACGTGGATGCAGTGAACTCAGTTACACATGCAAGTTGTGTGGGTGTGGGGCTGCTATGCACACTGTACCACTCGATTTGCTGCTGCTGCAGCCATGGTTGCTATTATGCCCCTAAGTATTATCCTTGTCTAGACAGCCCAAGATGGATTTCACCTCCATAAGCTCTGGCCCCTACATTACATAGTGGGTTTTTTTTCTGGCCAAACTCAAATTCTGTTGGCAAAGCTTTGAGGGCAGGTAAAATTTGGATGAAATCTACACTCAAAACTGCCATGGAGTTCTTTCTACTGGTAGAGTAATACCACCTCTCTAAGGAAAAAGAAGACTTCTGTTGTCACCCATTACTTAGCAGCCAGTGGAGGAAGACATACCCTGCCAGCACAGCTGCTAGGTTGAGCCATCTAGAGCCAACAGAAACCCTTCCATTCAATCATGGTCTGAAGGCTTCCTTGTAGTGGCTGTGGTTTGCTGTCAGAACACCTGGTGACAGAACTAGCCTAGCATTGACAAGACCTAATCCCTTGCACTTTTGTTACAAAAGCTTTGTTTTTATTGTGGATGAAGTAAATATCACCGTTAAACCCACACCTCCAAATGTTGTCATCAGGAAGACAGCAGCAAAGTACATTGTGTGCCTCTCTCAAGGCATGGAAAAAATATTTGTTATGTTGAATATTGCTTAATTTTTTGTCTGGTTCTACAATGTAGCATGAGGTTGAGGGAACTCTTTCAACTCCTGAGCCAGAATAGGTTAAATCTAGTGATTAGGATTGGGTTTTGAGGCCAAATAAAAGCTGGGATTTGGTTTTAGATTCAAGTGTGCTAAAATCTTGCAAACCGATATCACTAGATTTCAGTCTAAATGGTGGAACATCAGTGGCAGATAACAGAAATCTTGATAGACCCAATCTTGAATAATGGTTATCTCAACAGGTTAGCTGTTTAAGTGGAGTTATCTCCATATTTAGATGAAATCATAAGCAAAACAAACACCTCTCCTCCCCAAAAGCCTGTTACCTTGAGTTTCTAGTTGTGCCTGAAAAAAACCCCTAAAATATTTACATATGATCTGTGCTAAAATTAAGACCACAGAGCAGCAGTTCAAATCTAGGAATTACAAGGCAGTATTATTTCTTTGTTTTTAAAAAAGAACAACATTAGAAGTTTCAGGTAGTGGTGCTTTGGAATTTGATTTAGTTCTAGAAATTATGATTTGTATATCATCTTGACCAGAGTCTTATAAATCCTTGCTAGAGGGGAAAAAAAAGCGACGGTAATCTTAGGAAAGTGATTTAAGAAAAAAAATCCCTAAAGTCAAACCTATCATGAAAGTCTGTTATCTCTCTGAATTTATTATTTTTAAAGGAAGAGGCTCTTCCTAAGAACATACTGAAGTGGGAAAGGTGATGTTGGCAGTCAGTAGGAAAGTGACGCTATGAAAGTTCCTGTCAATCCCTGCTTTCCGTAAATAAAGTTTAACAAGATGAAACTATGGTCATGTTACAGAAGGACGTGGGTCTTAAGCTTTTACTCTGTTTCAGCTGTAAAACATTTTATAGTGTTGTAAATTATATTATACTCTGGACTTTGGTTTAGTAACTTAGAAACAAAGTGGAGAAGCAGGAGACATTCAATAGCCATGTATGTTTTCTGTAATCATAAATCACACCATTGTTAATATTGGTGTACGAACATTGTGGTGTTTAGAATGGCACTGTATTCAAATACTGTTATATTTAATGTGTCTTTTGTTTAAGGTTTTCAACATAATGTGAATTAAAATGAAAACCATATCTTCCCTTGTGAGGCTTTCATCTAAAATGATGGTATCGTTGCTGTATTGAATTCAAAATACCATGTAAACCTATTGAACTTCCTGGGTGAAATCATGTCTCCATTTAAGTCAATAACTTGAAGTACCTTTGACTTCAAAAAAGTTATGCTAGTTTACACCATCTGGGAGTCTAGCTCTTAAGTTTCAATTTAAAAAAAAGCCTTTCAGTTCATTCAGAATTTAATGAAGTAAACTATATAGTTAGTAAATCCTATAGCCCTGTTACTCATTAAAGCAAATAGATGACCCATTATAAGACCTTGAGGGGTACACGGAAAGAAAGGCATAATTAACAGAAATAAGAACTGTTGTTACTTGAAAGAAGCAAGTGCATTTACAAACCTCAAGAGACAGAATGCTAGAGTGTAAATTAAGAGTCACCATCTTTCATTGTCCTTTGACATTTTGGTGGGATTGTGCTATGAATAAACATTTACAGTACAAGCGTTTTGAAAAAAATGTATTTTACAGGTTTGCTATAGTAATATGCTTGAGAAATTGTAAATCTGGTCAAGAAACTTTAACATGCATATGTTTGGGGGGGAGGGAGGGGATAGAGAAGTGCTGAAGGGCAGTAAAAGATTATTTTAGGAAGCTTGTGTAGCCCATATTAGGGTGAGCCACTAGGACTGTAAATACATGTTTTGTTGAAGGTACTTAAAGACTTGAGCTGTGAATATTCTACAAACAATCCCCTTGCAAATGTCCACTGAGATTCTACAATGAATTTGCTTTGGTCAGGCTCAGGCTTGTCTTGAGCTTCTTTGCTATAAACGTCTATATCAGGGGTGTCAAACATTCAGCCTGCAGACTGGATCCATCCCACTGAACCATTGCA